GGAAGAACCCGAGCAGCCGGAGGAGGCGTCCGCGGCCGCGACGAGGCCGAGAGAGGGTGGAGGAGGAGGGAGGTGGGAAGAGCGGGAGGCGGTTTCGCTGGTCGGGCACGGTGGCGCCGGGGCGGGTTTGTTGGGCTGTGTGAGGAACTGTTGCGCCCGTGCCTGCCGAATGCAGGCTATTTGGGTTTGGACTTTGGACCCCTTGACGGCGCTAACCCTCCTCCTTCTAGAAGGATCACGAGTCCGTGAATGGGTGTGCCAGCGGGCCAGGCCCGCTGGGCCTAGTTCCGGAGACCCATGTCCAACTTGATCTCCAAAAGAAAAAAAGAGCCAACTTTTCTCAAATTAAGTAAATTATAATGAGCCAATTGTCTGACAAAAAAATGAGCCACTTTCTTACACTAGAAAAATTAATGAGAACAATATTTCTTGAGATTTAGCAAGTGAATATTTTTCTTCTTGTTGTTGAATAAACGCAACCGACATCACACCATAAACGCAACCGACATCACACCATAAAATTGCCCCACATAGATTTAGGCGTCAGAGATCAACTCATGAATAGCGGTGGGGGTATGTCCAAGACATCAGAAATTGGTGGCGGAGGTGCAGTTCCGAGGGACCACAATGGAAGCTTCATAGCAAGAGTCTGCCATCTTTTTCCTTCGGTTGCTGATCCTGAGCTAGCGAAACTGCTCGCCTGTCGTCGTGCAATCAGATGCCATGGAAATCAATGTGAGGAGGCTCGTCTTGGAGACTGGTTCTGCGGGAGGGGGGGGTGATATGTAAGATAACTGATCAAGTTAAGGATCTGTCTGCATACGGGCATGTGGTTTAGAAAATCAAAACATTACTACAAACTCTTGATGATTTTGAGGTTGGTTGGGTGCTCTGCGGATAGCGCATCACATGTAGTGGCTAGAGAAGTTTGCACTAAGAAACTTTTTTTTGAACAACAGAAGGCGTGGGAAGCGCCAAACTTTTCATTCGGCTCAGTAGCAACGTAGAACATGGATTACAAAGCCCTGAAACTAAAAATTGGAGAGAAGAGAAACTATAGGGTAGGTCATAGTCTTGTGAGCTGAAGCAAAGCAACATATGCCAGGTTCAACATCTGACCTAAGAAACTGACGGACTACATTATGAGCAATTCCATTTATCTCTCTTGAAATATGAAACATCTACGATTGAAGATTTGAAGAGTAGAAGAAATCAACTAAAGTTTTTTGATAGCCCAAGGAGTAGAAGCCTCTAAAATTCTCCCATTCGCCACAACCGAACCCAAGGAAAGGCAATCTGTGAGGAACGTGGGTTGGATAATGTGAAGAGATGTGTTGGTGATGATGTGGATGCCTCGAACTACACATTTACTTCACTTTGATCCCGCGACAAAGAAAGATAAACTCCAACACTAGTAGTTGCTGATCCCTGAGATAAACCAGGAACATTTTTACATTTAAAAGCTGCATCAGAATAAAATTTGGGCCCTGCAATGCGAAGATCAGATTTAACTGTTTGACCCTACAAAGGAATTTCGATAGTAGGAGTTTAAAGAAGGATTGGAGCATGAGGCTGGAAGTGCTGAGAATTATTAGTAAGATCACAAGGCTCAAGAGACGAAGCATTTGCTGGAATATTAAGATGACACTAGTAGGAAAACCCTTATAGGAATAGTTAGTTGGCAGCGCAACATGAAAATTGGACGCTAACGCTATTTATGTCAAGTAGCACCGGCGTCGGCTCGGAGCATATAACTGATACGGTATAGTTAGGGGCATTGAACATTTAGCGGACGTCCGTAGTGCCATATACTATGTATTCAGGCCTCTCTTTGACATAAACATATGTATAGAGGCATGTCGGACACACCATCTCCCTCTCTCTCTCTCTCTCACCCACTAGGTGGAGTCGTAGTGGACATGTATGAAGAGAAGAGGTGCACGCACGTGCGCATTGCCTCCCTCACACACACGTGCGGGTACACGGTGGAGCACATTTCTCTAAGGAGAGTTAGCCCTCATGATAATTTGACGCATGTTGAAAGACTTGTTAGATGACGTGGCACTGGTTTATAGCCAACAACCGGCTATATGAAGTTGCCATGTCATATATAGTCAACCTAATAGCCAACGTGTATAGTATAGCTAGTTGCTAAGCAGTACTACTTTATTAATGCATGACCTATTGTACACTCTCACAATGTTTTTTGGAGTCCGTGCTATAGCCGGCTGTTAATCGACGGCCCGCTTCCATTCTCTCTCTTATTCTCTCTCATCCAATTGAACACAAATATAATTGTTTAATCATTATAGCCTGCTGACTGTAACTTATTATACTCGCTCTTCCGGTGCAAAGCAATTAGGAAACAAAATATGAGCAAGTTTTTGTTTCGGGAGATGTCTCTCTTTTTCAGTCAATATATTTTTGAACAAAATGATGGGGGAGCTCAATGAAGCCACGTGGCACATGTGGAGGGGTTGTTCGCCAGCTTCTTGCGTGGATTGATCACACTGACGTGCTGATGCTTCCAGAAGAACGTAGACACTGTTGGGTACAATGAGGTTACTGTAGACATGAATCCCAGCCATTCCGAGGCAATTAGACCATTGGATCAACATCAATGAATGGCTAATATCGCGTCACACGTGAAATTGAGAATTTCTAAACTGATTATAGAAATAACCAGCAGTGGGCTACTCATTTTTTGCTCCGAGAGGTTGTGGGCGTCTGGCTCCGCCATGATGGCCTATGAGGACGCGGGCCCACGTAAGCATCCGAGAAATGTATGTAATGAGGATTTCTAGCGATGAATCTCGTTAAGGAGGCAAAGCAAGTGTTACCCTTTACAAATTAAGTTAGGCGGTAAACTTACAACCCGTCGCGCTGGCGTCGCCCCAACACATGGTCTGTCCACCCCGCCACTCACCGAAAGGATGCGCATCGGCTTGGTGCGTCACCGACACGTGCGACCGCATGTAAGCAGTAGCACCAACACAAGGTCGGTCCGGCTCGTCGCTTAGCATGAACAGATGGTATGTCCGGCCCGCTGCTCACCAAAGCGACGTGCATCAGCTTGGTACATCATTTATGTTCGACCGCATGTGAGTAGTAGCAAACCGACAGGCCAAGCTCCCCTGTCTACCGCACGCCAAAAGCCCGGCCTTTTATTGTAGATCCCATTAAAAAAATGAAGATCGCACATAGGAGCAGACCATGGCAGTTGCGAACGCTCGAGTGGCAGTTTGTAGGGGAGGGGCATGGTGTAGCAATTTTGTAATATGCCACGACACTTCTTTTTCTACTATTGTGTACGTGCAATAACTGGCACCGTCAGATACATATTTTACGGTTATTGGGGCGTTTGCTAGGAATAGCCTCGTGGCGAGCTATAGACATCTTTTTTCACACGCATTACACCGACACATATCATCTCTCTCCCTCTTTCCCATGCACACACCTAATCTCTCGGGACTTCTCGCACGCACCATCTCTAGCTCTCTACGTTGATGCCACCCACATACACTTGTACTCTGTGTTTAGTGTGTTGTACACGAAGAGAGGAGGTGCACACACGCACTCGTCCTCTCTCACACACGCATCTTTAGCTATGAATTGTAGTGTTCTCAACCATCCGATTGGATCTATCATAGGTTCACGTTGCTCCTTGGCCTTGAGATTGAGAAGTTTAAAACACGGAGGCTAAGCTGGAGGTGCGATGTTTTGGTTAATGTGTTGGCCACACACGGCACCAACACGACACGAGCTTCGTCTGCCTGGTGTGCAGTCAGGTGAGTACTACTACTTTGATGTGTCGCGTCAACTCACAGAAGTATGCAACACTTCCTCAACAAACAAGCATATAAGCAGCTTATACTCCTTACCCAAAGGATCTTTATATCCAATAGACACAAAATATCCCTTCGACTGTTGGAAATTACTTTAATTGTTGATCTGATGTCGAAGTAATTGCTGCATCGCCGCCAAAATCCACTATCTTTTAAGCTAAAGTAGAACGAGCTAAACCCTATATTAGCATATTACTAAGATAAATAAAAGGCACTGTAGAATCATTTTGGTGAGCTTGTCAATCTGAATG